GTTTTCTTGACCGTTGGTGGTTCGCAATCACCACTCCCTTCGACTTTGTTTGTGCAGGACAGTAAAAGGAGCGACAGCCACCAAACCAGCCGCCATGTCACTACCCGCCCCTTTACGAGGAGAGTGTCGCTCTGTACCTGACAGGGACACTGGCGTACGGGACCTTGCAGCGCGCACCCGTAGCTTTGGGAAAGCACGAAAACAAATACACAACATATTTGCTGGCAGATGAATATAACCAAAATACCCGCTGTGGCCGACATGTCCCGATGGACTTGTGGATATTACAACAAGCCTTCCCTGAAATGTAGTGCAACGAGCTGCAAATTGTGTCAACAGACGTTGTGCGACCTCGTTGATACTATTCTTGTTCCCGTCAGCTTCCGTACGCCTCTCTCCAAGACCAACCTTCATTTCTAGCTTGTCGTGACACGATGCTTCCCCTGGTTCATGTCAAGTTTGCTTGGTCCACTTGAACCGGCTGCCGTTTGTTGTGAGGATAGACTAATTCTACAAGTTGACACTAATAAACCACAAAAGAAAGGGATTTCGGCCAAGTTAATGCCGCCGCCAAACGCGTCAGGGGCAAGGGGCTTCGACTCTCCTTGACTCGGTGGGTTCTGAGCCTCTCTCTGACAGGGCGAGAAAGCAAGCAAAAGTGGGAGAAACTCGACGCTGGCGTGTTTGCTCCTGCCAGAATGTTTGCCCACATAGTATCACGTCAACTCTGTTGCATGTGTGCAAAATTGCTATTGTCCCCGCTTCAACGGGCGACGGGCTCTTGTGATCGCTGCCCTTGAGCTTACTTAGCCTGGACCGCTGGAGGAAACGGTGCGTTGACAGGTGCCAGACCAAGACATTTTTCATGGGCCCAACTGCTGAAGCGACTGGTGCGTGATGCCCGCGACAATAGCGCGCTTGGCGACGATTATCTTGTGAATACACGCATTTAATTGCCCTCTCTTTGTCGCGCGACTCGGCTCGCAAGATGAGATGGATGCCGAGAAGTGATGCCTGAAAAGACAAAGGAGGACCAAGCCGTCTCAGTTGTGTGTGGTCGTCCTGAAAGGTCTCACTTGAGAATCTACCAAGTGGAGATTGTGGTGCGCGAGGGTGTGATAATATTGGTGAAGAACATTATGTCTCTGTATCGAACCGACAGAGGATCGAGTGGTTCACAAGGGGTTTACTACAGAGGAGAGTATCCCTTGTTGGTGACAATGATTTTCAAAACGCAATGTGACATAGCATCTTTCTTCAATGGGTCTCATATGCATGTCGCCAGTTGTGCTGCGTTGGCGCGTCGATCATCGTGGGTCAAATCGTTATGGAGATCTCCAGGATGAGACAAAGGAAATGAGGTCCAGAAACAAGTGCCATCTTGTGCCAAGGGAGAAGGCAAGTGATGATGTCAAAAGTCTTCTCTGGTGTGCCGATCTTTCGCCTATCTTTCTCTAGGAAACAAACCCCCAGTCTTATTCTGGGTTTGTCTATTGAATATTCTATCATCATGATGAAATCTAGTGATTCTCTCCCTCGACGACTCCATCCTGTTCGCCAGTCTCCCTCTCACACCCAGCAGAGTTCTGTTCCACTGCAACGACATCCGCTACCGAACTTGCCCAAAACGGCTCTGATCATAGGCGCAGGGCATTGGAAATTTTGATGGTCACCCTGCCGCCCTCGCTCCGGAGGACCTCGACTGAAGAAAGGTCTCGGACAACCCAGTCTGGCTCTGCAGAGACGACCTGCTCCACGGTATGGCTTGTCACCAGACCAAGGACCTTGCAACCAGCTGCCTTTCCTGCACGGATCCCTGCTGGGCTGTCTTCAAGGACCAGAATCTGGGCATCCTCCGCTTGTAGGCCGAGGCGCTCACGGCCAAGGCGATAGCAGGCGGGGTCAGGTTTGCCATTCTCAACCGACTCTGCAGTGACGAGGTGTTCTGGCGGCGGTGTAGGCAGGTCTCGAGCACGCAACCATCCAGTTACGAGAGGTACAGTACCCGATGTGACGATCGCCCAGGGGCTAGATCTGGCGATGAGAGCTTCTAGCATGGAACGAGCGCCAGGTATCTCGACGGCCTCGTGGCCGTGGTACTTGGGAAGACGTCCTTCCATGTCTTGTACGTCTGTGGCAATGATCAGCGGTTGCTCGTTCTAACTATCACAGAGGCAGTTGGGTGGATGGGGGTATGCCTTGACCAGCCTTGACAACTAACTACCAGGTTGTCCATGAGTGATATAACGCTTTTGGCTGCATGTCTTCACATGCCCTTGGGCTCATTGGCTATGCTTGTTTGTTGAGCTTACTTACATTCCCAGTTAGCCTTTTCAGGCGCAAGTATCTTGAGAATGTCGATGCTTCGTCGTCCATGGGAAGTCTCAAGAATGACTTCAGGAGCAACGCCTATCTCATTGCCAATTCTACGCCGAGTTAGTCGCCAAGTTGTGCGTATTGTACATGTATGTACTCACGTTTGCCAATGTTTGACCACTGCTTCCGTGGAGTCGATAATGGTGCCGTCCATATCGAACAGGAACCCATCGAATGTGAATTCCTGCGGAGGCAGGCTGTACTCCGGTGTCGATCCCATGATGTATCGGTGAGAGTGTAAGAGGTCCAAGTAATAATTTAATGTGAGGTGCAGTTGGTCTAGTAGATCTTCTCAATCCAACCTGCGTTTTGTTTTGAGAATGTTGAATACTATTAGGAGTCCTTGGAGATACCAATCAATTTGTATGAATGGTTTGGAAAGATTGTGAACGGGCTATTGTGCTTATAAAAAGATGGATTCATGTTATTACTCACTTCATGGCTCACCCCGTTTTGGGAAACTCCGCATTGGGGGGCGAAAGGTGGAGAAGCTTAATAACCGACTCTCTCGGAGCAGTTAAACAACATGCTTGAGATTATAATGACTTAATAATAAAAGGATACAGTGTTTTTAAATACGAGAGTAAGTTCTCAATTACAATTTGTGTGATTTTTGTTGGGAATACGTATGGATGTATATCAAGTTCGCTTGCCTTTCCATAATCGGATTGGAGTTATTATGAGTGTCGTATCAAGCATTGTATACTATCAAACACGGCATTCATATCAATGATACTGTATAATTTCTGGTAAACTTAGGTGCCATGTATCATGTCCTCGTTATTTGTATTATAAACCACACTGCTTTAGTTTTGCACAACGACTCTACTCACGTCAAAGACTACCCCAAGAACGTACCTAGCCAAGCTACCCTAGACTTTCCTAACTGGGCGACCTGCCATTCTTGGCGACAAGCCGCGTTTTTCCTGTTCCTGTTGAAGAAACATAGGTCTCCCCGATTTCCCTCGGCTGTAGGGTCTATAAATGGAGGGAGGGCGCCGAGGGAAAAGATGATGGATCAAGTAAGCACGATACTTAATAAATCAACTGAGGTCAGATTGAGTCTGGTTTAGGATACTTTCGAAAAAGAACTGCGCCTTCTCACTCAGCTTATGACGGCCCATCACAGACGTGGCTATCGTTATCCCCACTGAGAACTTTAAGACCGAGACAGTGTCTTCCTCCATCTTGAATCTCTACTTGGATCTATTTTTCTGTCAACAATTACTTGGGAATAGCCTCAGCACAAAATGGGTTCCCAAATCGCAGAGCCAGAAGAAATTACCGTGCTTGTCACGGGCTTTGGTGTATGTTGCTATTCTTCCTGATATTGAACGTCATATGTTTATTAGCCGCCCCGCTCGACGTCACGCAACGTAACGCATTGCGTTGTGAGGACTATGAACATATGAACAATTGGGTAGAGAGAGGAGGGGATACAGAGTTAGTGTATGCTAAGGACTGTGCTAATACTTGGACATAATAGCCCTTTAGGGAACAATATCCCACCAACCCTTCGTGGGAGATCGCCAACAGTTTGCCGTCACATCTGCCACCATTGCGTGCCAAAGATCCTAACTCGAGGCACGCGGCTGCTCTTCTACCAAACGTACGCATCTCAGTACATCCAGAGCCTATCCGAGTCAACTATCAAGTTGTGAGAAGCTTGGTGCCGTCATTCTACGATACGCCTCGGCCATTCGACGTTGTTATCCACATTGGCATGGCGGGTCCGCGGCCCTTCTACTCCATCGAGAGGAGAGGTCACCGTGACGGGTACAAGCACCCAGACGTTGATGGCGAAATTATTGACTCGGACGAAGATTGTCAAAAGGATGACTGGCCATGGCGAGGACTACCAGAAGAGATAGAAACCGAGCTGCATCTCGACCAGGTTCTTTCTCTATGGCAAGGGCACAGTTCAGTAAGTGAAGAACAACTCTGGACTTTTGGATTGATACTAACAATACTCTAAGGAGTATGATGATCTCCGCATATCCGAAGATGCAGGGCACTACTTGTGCGACTTCATCTACTACTCGAGTTTGTCAGAGCTGTGGAAGCAGCAGCGGCCAAGAAAGACAGTGTTCCTCCATGTCCCGGCAGATGCTTCTCCCTCAAGTGTTGAGAGAGGCAGGGACTTGACATTGAACCTGATACGATCCATTGTCGAGAGCGAGATAATTGCCAAGAACAAACCTATGGAGAGCAGGGTTGGAGATGAAGAGCTATAATTCGCGATTAATGTATGCTGTACATAGCAGATTCAGTATTGAGCCATGTATGGTTGGGAGGTGCAATCTGACATGTTTTGATTAAAATATGAGGTTACATTCGTATCATTCTATACCTAGGTAGCGTTGGTTGAGAGTACATATAACATCACATTAAAGACAAATGCCGTTCCAGAGACAATGCATTGTTGATTCGTTGCATTCACATCATTCCTCAATTGTTCCTATATCGGCGACGAATCGGTGGCTCTGGCTTAGTTATTGCCCCGTTCCGGAGATGCTGTAAGTGGAAAGCGGGAAGCTTCCAAATCCCCCTCCTCTCCACATAGAAACCTCTCTTCACTACAACGTCACCTACTTCAAACCAACAATCCAATTCCTCCTATCAAAATGTGTAAAAAGGCCATCTGCGGAACATGCAGTGAGTACAAGAATCCACACTATGCGTTACTGTCAGTGCTGATAATCTCTCTAGACAAGACTTCCTGGTGGGGTTGCGGCAGCCACATCCCGTCTGTCATGGACACTGTTCCTGATGCTGACCGCTGTGCGTGCGAGCCCAAGGTTGAAGTCGGCGGTGTTTCGTACCCGCCCATGGCCGCATCTCCAAACTGACTTATCGAGAGGGCTGCCGCCCTGGTTCTCTGGACACGCGGTAAGAAAGCGGCTTGGTCGCCCACTGGTGTTGTTGAGGAGCCTTTGAAGTCATGATGATGGCGATGCTATGATGAGCTAGGATTATACATGAGGTATAGATTGGCGTGGCGTTGAGAGAGGGGTTTTGAGGAGAGGAGTTGGGGGCAGACTAAGGCATATGTATCACAAGCATTTTGAAAACAATCACAATGTGTCCATTAGTGATGCGATGTTGTATGTAGGTTGAAGTAATACCTTTAGTTTATGCATGGTTGGACAAGCCACAACTGCAAGATAATGTGCATGTGATACCAGCGTTGTGGCCATTGGCGTATCGCCGAGAACTTGTATAGGTACGTTTGCAGAGCATGACCAACCATATAAACGTATATTTAATTTATGTTGGATGTATCCAATATTCTACTGCCTCTTGATATCACATGGTTTTGTTTTACCTTCTTCTCGCGCCGCCAGCAGCAGCGGCATCGCCTCTGTCTGCTAGAGACACAACTTCCTGGATACCTGCGGCCTCTTGCTCTTCTTCCAGAGCCACAATCTCTTCACGACAATCCCACCATTTCTCCTCGCTGAGCTCGAACGCCTTGGCCTTGATCTCCTTAATAGGCAGGGTTTCAGGTTGGATGTTTTTCCACCGTAGGCTCGTCATCAGAATCTCTTGCCACTCATTTGAAGTACGGACAAAGAACTCTCGTCGAGTTTCAAATGGCTGTTTGATATATTAGTAAGGCACTTTTAGATACTTGATGAAAGGCAATGGTCTTACTCTAGGATGGGGAAGACCATCATCGACAGATGTAGCTGAGGTCTCGGTATCATCCTCATCTGAGGGCGTAGGTGGCTCCGAGGAAACCTCTGAAGCAACCTCCGAAGCCTCTTCTTGCTTCTTCTTACGCTTGCTGGGAGTGCGTAGCTGTTGAGATGCTTCCTCATCTGCTTCCTCCTCTTCCTCTTCGTCGTCCTCTTCTTCATCGTCATCTTCATCATCATCCTCGTCATCCGACTCCTGCAACGATAGTTAGCCACTTTGACCTCAAGATGGGTTTCGAATAACTCACAATCCAATCCTCGACAGGCCGACTGAATATTTCTTTACAGCCATCAAGCCTTCCAAGATCGATAGCGTATAAATCATCAAAGGTGAACTCTCGATCCCCCTTCTCGAAAGTGCCACCGTAAATGTATAGAACATCGTCTTGAATTGCCAGTTGGGCGTTGAATCTCACATGAGGAGGTTCCATAGTCACTGGCATCTCCCTTGCTGGCTTCTCATCATCCTGTTCCTCTTCCTTCTTGGCGAGCTCAATATCATCAGCATCATCAAGAGAAGCACCGGTTTCCAGAGCAGCAAGTTGCCTCAACAGCTCATCCTCGTTAGCTTGGGCACGACCGCGGCGACCGCCTCGGGGCTCCGCAGCAGCCTTCTTCTGTTGGCGAGCCTTTCGTAGGCCAAGGGGCATGAATCTGTTTCGCTCAATGTTCCAAGCAAACAGCTGGTTGAAGAACTCGCTGTCCATACCTTCCTCGCTGGCTTCAACATCGTGCACACCTCCAAAGAGGATACCACGGCCCTTGTGCCATGCCATGGTTGCGCCAGCACGTGTAGGATTGGGAGCATTGGCAGGCTTCTTTCGCTTTTCCCAGCGTACAACAGGGGGCGTATTAGGGCTGGCATCGGTAGCAGGCTGAGTAATTCTAAGGAAGAAACAGTCTTCGTGCACCTTGGGAATCAGAACGTTTCGTTGAGCTTGGCTGGAACCCTTGTTGCCCTTCTGCTTGACGTTGACTGTCGACTTGACACGCGAATAACCTCCATATAGAACTGCGCCTTGCTCATGCGGTAGAAGGGTGAAAGAAGATCTGGGATCTGGCTTAAGCTGCGCTGGAGGCAGTTGAGGAGAGTGCCACACAAAGTTGACAGTATCAAAGATCCATAGATCTGACAAATACTTTGTCTGGTTCGAGGTATCTTGGAAGCCTCCAAACAGAATGATATACTGTTTCCAGTAAGTCATTCGATGGCCACTTCGTGCAGAAGGACTCTTGTCCTTGCCCTTGAACTCAATCTTGGTCCATTCTCTCGTTGCAGGCTCCAGCCTCCAAAAGTCTGAGTAATGATGGAATGTACCTTGCTTAGGTGAAGAAAACTCGCCACCAAAAAGGTACACATGATTCGGATTACCAGCTCTGGTCCAGGCATGACCAGACCGAGGAAGGGGAGCATTGGGTGAAGTAACACAACGCCACTCATCGCGGTTGATGTTGTAGATGCTTAAGTCGTTATAGAACTGGGCAAGAGAGCCGTTAAAGTATTCTCCACCGAACAACAGCAGAGTATTGCTATCATGAGGCGAAGCCATCAGCGTAGATGCAGCTCTTGCCCTAGGTGGTGCTTCAATTACAGTCTCTGTGATCTTAAGAAACTGCTCCTGTTGCCGTCGATACTCCTCAAGCACCTCATCAAGATCTACATCCTCAGCATCGCTTCCTTCGATCTTGGCCGCCTTATTTTTGGCCTTCTTTTCTCCCTTGTTGGCCTGCTTAGCCGCCTTTTCAGCCTGATCATAGTCATCAGTCAAAAGTTCATCATGTCATAGGTTATGGAGGGGCAGTTTTGGAGGGGTAATTAAATAGAGGGGCAACAGGTAAGGCAGTAGATAGTTGCACAAGGTATGGATAACGGCACCTTTTTGGCCTTTTTGGTATCGGCGTTCTTCTTCTTGTCTTTGGCCATTTTGTGGAATATACGGCACTGTAGAGGAAATATGTCAAAGGTTGAGCTCTGAGGCGAAAATCCTGCGCCTATGTGGATGGGGTTTATTACAAGTTTTGACCATGTCAAAACCAACCATTCAGAGCACAGTGTCAATCATGAAAGTACACAGTGACATTTCCTCAAGGAGGATATACCCACGACCATTCATTATGTCTTCAGACTTTGTATTTGCTTATAACATATGTGATTCTACTTTCCCTTTCTTCATTTGTATGAAAATGGCATCGATAAATGTTCTAAACAACAATCCGTTCAATGGGTATCTTACTCGCTTTTCTTGGAGTATTTGCTTGGTAGGTAAGCTACCAAGGCCTTGCTAGCTCCCTCCATACAGTACTGTACAACCTCAACTTTCCTATCTGGAGGTGCCAGTTTTGCAATTTGTCGAATATCGCTCGTCCTGGGCAGGAAAAGGGCATGGTCCAATCTATTGTACGCGTTATGCAAGTCGTCAAGATTGTACGGTTGCATATTGTACAAATTGAACACCTCGTCAGTGCGGTACCCAGGGCCTCCCCATGGTGGACTCGCAAACAAGACTGTCTCGTCGAGATTTACTCTCAGGTCAGGATGCAGCTCTTCTGGACGGTTGAATAATTTGTCGAGGTATTCGAAACTATCCCCAAGGATCCATGTGACCAAGCCGGGCTCAACACCGTACACTTTAGAATTGTTTTGAGCACATGCGAGTGTAGAGGGATCGCGCTCGATAGAGATAACGCGACTCCAGCGCTGCGAAAGGGTAAAGGCAATAGTGTTGCCGCCTGCGCCACCAAAGACATCAATGAGAATGTGCTTCTCCTCATCAGTACCGTACATATCGTTGGCGACTTGACTAGAAAAACATGAGTTTGGGGAAAGCGAATGGAGTATGAGAACTCACTTTGCTACTGGCTCGGGTGTTACACCAAACCAAGCATCGTCTGTCATGTAGACTCCATAATCGTAAAGGGAGAAGATGGAATAGCGCTGTGAAAAATATCTGAGTATGTTAGTCACCAACAACCCCGAAAGAAAGAGTTTACTCACTTTTGAATATCCCACGGTACCTCATGCTTTCCTTCGTAATGGTGGCACTTATCGGTGAGAGGCAGCTCTTCAGCAGGCTTCATAGAATATTCAGAGTTTTCTGGCGCCATTTTCCCTGTTGGAATACCTGTTTTTCACCTTTGAATCGAGATGAGAGAATTATTCATGTTAAATAAAACTCATCTCAGGTTTAGTCTGAAAGTGATGTTTTGTCGCGACTAAGTTCCAAAGTGAACTTGGACGTTGAATTTGAACGCGAGGCTGTCTTGAAGCTCCCCACAGTGTGCTCCACATTTAGACAAGAGGGCTTGGCACGCTGCAAGGCTACCAGCGATACTTGAGCAATGGTGACAGCTTGCTCAATGGCCCGCCCTTGAGCTTCCATTTCTATTTCCATCTGACCCAAAGCCCAACAACTCCCTGCCTTTTCGATCTCAAAGTTTCGCAACACTTTCTGTATAGACTGATTCATACGCTAGAAGAGCCATGTTTAATGCGCTGAATCGTTTCATATCGCGCCTGGACGGAGACGTCCAGCAGCAGCGGCAACAAGACCGAGGCTCCTTCGGCTTCCAGGTGTTGCGCAACACTAACTTGGAACTGGCTATTGAACCCTGGTTCGATTTCATTGTTGGAATTAATGGGAGACCCATTGTACGGACTCATACACTAAATTCCCTCCGGACGCATTCATCACTAACAACTGTTGCAGGAGGACCCTGAACCAGCTCTCTTCAGCCAAGAAGTGAGGAACTGTGCGGGCAGCACAGTTACCCTGGGGTTATGGAGCGCAAAGGTATATATCTGCCTCTCTCAAGTCCATGCGCCAGTAACTGACAATTTTTTTTAGGGCCAGAGAACTAGGGAGATCCATGCTCCCGTTGCGCCAGACACTGCATCCCTCGGACTGTCTTTGCAGTACGCCCCTCTTGCTCTTGCTGCCAATATCTGGCATGTTCTAGACGTCCCGGCCAACTCACCCGCCGACGTCGCCGGTCTGCTGCCGTACAGCGATTATATCCTTGGCAGCCCCGAAGGTGCACTGTATGGAGAAGGCGGCCTGGGCGAGCTCGTCGAGGACTTTATCGGACGGCCGATGCGCATCTGGGTTTACAACAACGAATACAACGTCACACGCGAAGTCACGATACAGCCT